GTGTGTGTGTGTGTGTGTGTGATGACGTTTTTTACATGATACATGCCAGAACTGTGAACTCACAAAATGACTGAAACTTTTTTTTTTAAATAGAATACATTACATTTGATTCTTGCATGTTTGTCATTAACAGGCTGCTTTTGTTGGAACAGTACCTGTTAGAATATTTCAGAATGTTTCTGTCAGTTTTGCCTGTCTGTGTTCTCTCTTACCCTCCTTCCCTTTCTCTCCCTCTCTCTGCTTTTCCCTCCTCCCTTCTGTGTTCTCTCTCTCTCTCTCTCTCTCTTTAGTCTTACCTCTCTATCTCAATGGGAGGAGAATAGATGATTTGCATAAGATCTTTTCATCATTCTTAAAAGGGAATGGATGTTTTGGTATCTTTGTTACCTATTCTCACAATAAGATTAAGATATTCTCAGTCCTTCCAAGATTGAATGATTGTCTGATGAGATGAGAAAATTGGTATTGTGAAGTCCTTGCAAGGCACTAAAACAAATACAATGCTAAATAAAAAATCTCTAATTGTCTATGACAGTTGATCTGGACAGGATGGATGAAACAGCAGAGTAGTATATTTCAGCAAATTGTTTTAACACAAATTCAACTAATGCCTATTTGCTAGGGGTGTGACGAGATCTCGCGAGATCCGATATGTCTCGTGAGATCTGACTGGTCTCGCGAGAACGTTACGATATCCTCGCGCAGACCTTTCAAGATATATTTGCATTACACTGGCTTGTTCACAAGTGGTGGTATGTAAGATATTTTGTGTTCACATCAGGCAAGTGGCGGCATAAGTGGGAAAATTACGCAGTGTAGTCTTTATCTGGTCATAAAAACAGAATTCACAGTTTAACGCGGAATGTCACGGAATTTGTCAAATTTTTAATGAATTAATCAAAAGTAGGTCATTACACTTAAATCACGATATGGACTAGTATCTGTAAATATTAAGCCACAAAAGTCAATTTAAATATGAATCCTGCATGTTCTGCCTGTCTC